AGGAGGGGGGGGGTAATTGTTTTGATCCACATGCTCGTTGCTGGCTGGGAGTGTGTATGAAGTGGAGGGTCCCCGCCTTCGCGTTCCTTCCGTGGAGACCACATCTCTCTGCAGTTTCCCAACGCCTTCTCTCTCTTTGTCTCTCTCTGTCTCTCTCTCTCTCGCTCTCTCCCCCTCCCCCTAGACGCGTGTGTTTTGCTTCCTTTTTGCTGCCTTTGTGGTGGAGCTGCTGGTCGGCGACCGCCGGACCGGACCGCCGCCTGCCGCACAGTGAGCGACAAGTTGTTGCGACTGACGGTCAGTCAGTCAGGGACGCAGTCAGCTGTTGAGAGACGACACTAGAGGCGACGGCCCTTTCCCGCACGAGTAGTCGTGACTGATCACCCCGGACGCAGCCAGCTGTGAGGAAAGGACCTCCACCGCCCGCAACCCGCCGCACCCTAACCACCTCCAGGCTCTCTCTCCTCCCTCTCGACCCAGGCAGGATGCCGTTGGCGTTGAGCGCCGCGCTGCGGCTGGCCAGGCGGGTACCCATAGCGGCCGCGCCGCTGACGACCGCCTCCAGCAGGACGCACTACAGGGAGCGGGGCAGGAGCAGGCAGCAGGAGCAGCAGCAGGAGCAGCAGCAGGAGCAGCAGCGAACGGTACGCCACTGATGAGGTTCTACCAGCGAAAACTTAGCGAACTTCCACCGAAAACTTTTCCTGAGAAACTGGAAAACAATGAAAAAATTGAAAAAAAAAATCAAAAAATTGAAAAGCAGTCGAAAAATTGAAAAACAATCGAAAAATTAAAAATCAAATGAAACATTTAAATTTTGACAAATTTCGGCTAATTTACATCTTATTCGTTGAAAATGTTCATAATTTACAACACTTGACTCAATAACTCCAACGCAATTGTCGCCCCCCCTTTCCTCCCTCCCTCTTGCCGAGACAGAGCGCCCTTGGCCTTATCCTCCCTCCGGCTGAAGCCCTCCGGCTGCTGCTGTGACTTGTGTTCGCGCCCCTTCCCCGGCCCGGCCCGGGCGGAGGGCGCGCACCAAGTTTGCGCGACTTGTCGCCGTCGACGAGCCCACCACCCGCCGCCGCCGCCGCCGCCGCCGCCGCCTTGAGGCGTCGCGAGCGCTCAGCGCCCCCTCAGGCAGGCGCCTGGGGCGGAATTAGCGTCACTACTCGAGTCTGCGAGAACTCCGGAAGGAAGCGGCTCATGACACGTGCGAGCCCCAGCCTCATCGCCTGCCCTCCCCCTCCCCCTCCCCGCCCCGCCCCGCGTCTCACCACCACGGACCAACCCCCCGCGGGCCCGCGCGGGGGTGTATTCCGCACACCCGCGAAACTTTGGGCAGACGCGCGACGTCATGTGTCCCGTTGAAATTTCCCCTAAAATAACTGTTTTATAGGCCAAGGACTTTTATTTGTTAGAATAAAAGGAGATAGAATTTAGGGGGCACGTTAACGGCGTTAACCGAGGTACTTCGATCATGAGGTACACTGCGCAAAATAGTTGTAGGATTTACGGGAAAAGTTTCCAGTAATCGTGCCGTAAAATTACAGAGCTCAAAATTGTAAAGCACTACAGGGTAGGTGATCCGCGCCGTCATTTTAAATGCTTATGCTACTGTACCGGATTCACGCGTGCGGATGGGTTGCATACTCGCACTGCGCCATAAGGCGCCATGGCGAGCGACGGTAGGCAAGCACGCCCACACTCGTGAATCCGGTAGGTACAATATACGCTTAAAAATGACGGCGCGGATCAACCACCTTCTTCATATCGACTTGCATCGGCGAGCAACATTTAAGTGTCAAAAATTTAGAAAATTTGAAAAAAAAAAATACTTATTACAAATTATACTGCAAATTTTCGAGGTTATCTTTTTCAGTGTTCGTTAAAAGTCATATTGTATGAAATGTCACCTGAAACCAAAAACAAATAAAGCGCAGGGTTCCCGCATTGACTGAGATGGTCTTGTTGTGCTGCAGTGCGGGTGCGGCCGGGGCGCTGTTGCCCTGGGGCTCACCGTCGCCACGCTCTCGCAGCTCCCCCAGCAGCGCGACGAGCCGGACGGGCCCGCCGCCGCGGCCGCCCTGACCGCCGTCGAGCCCGACGACCACGTCCTGGACCTGGTGGACCAGCTGAGCGCCTGGGAGCGCATCGACGAGGCGAAGAAGGCCCTCCGGACGTTCAAGGTGAGACCGCGATCCTCTATACTTAGTATAATAACTCTCATCATGCATTCACTAGTCTTGCGTCTCCGCCTCTCCGCATCTCTGTTCACCACCCTCTCCCCGTCTCTCTTTCTCCCTCCCTCTCTCTTTCTCGCGCACGCTCTGCAGCGTCTTTGACAAAGGGCTGCCCGCCTCTCTCCAGTCCCCCTGTCAGTAGCTCCTCTCTCTCTCTCCCCCACTCCTCCTTTACCGAGAGCTAGGGGCAGGCCCTTGACAGCGGGACTCGTCAAGAAATACGAGCGCAGTCTAGCAGCAGCAGCAGACCTAGAAGTGGCGTGTGTGTGTGTGTGTGTCTGTGTGTCAGTGTGTCTGTGACACACCATGTGTGTCGCACTCGACAGTTTTGTGGACTGTCAGTTATACTCCGTGAAAACGCGAGATGAATCTCGACCCTCGTCCCCAACTCAAAGGGTACTTCACTCAAAAAAGAAAGAAAAAACAAAAAGAAACATTATGCACCCTCTAAGAAGAAAATCAGGAAACAAAAATCAAGGGAGAATGAATAAGAAATCAGGAAAGAACAGAAAAATCGGCCCACGCTTGGGGCTTGACTTTGTTATGAAGTCACCGCTCGCTCCAACTTCTGGTCTCTCGCGGTGCTGATCCGTGGTCAAGCGGCGCACGGAGAAAGAAAACCGAGAAAAACGGAACTTGCCGTGACACACGGAGTGAGTCACGGACTAGTCTGGATGCAAAAAGAGTCGGGGTTGTTGGGAGTGGGATTGCAATGTCAAATGAGAGACGACCAACTACTGCTAAAAACAACAACCATTTAGAGAGATGGGGGACGGGAGGGG